GTGGCCACAGCCATTTAATAGAAAAATGTTTAGAAGAGATGGTGGTTGAGTTTTCCACCTCCTTCACCTTTCTGTACCCTGGCTGTGACTGCCAGGACCACACAACTCACTCAAGCACATGTCTGCTTTGGGCATTTTCAGTCACCCAAATTGTGGGAGATCTGGGTTCTCTCCCTCCCTCATTCAAGAAGAATCTACCCTTCATCTCCTGCTTCTAACAGATGCTTATAATCACTTGCACATGTTCCTGGCTGGGGCATTCTTCTCCCTCTAGCATCTCCCTGTCAAATGAACTTACTGAATTCCTCTTAAAAATTCACACATTTATCTAAAAGGACAACAAAAGGCAGGAGTAAGCCTGGTCCTGGCTCAGAATTGCAATCAGATAAAAGTAATTCAATCTTCCTTAAGAATTTACAATAGTTGGTTAGTTGGTTAGTTTACAGAGCCCCCATGCCAAGTACCAAGTGTTGTAAATCTGTTCTAAGCTGTGTAACTTCCATGCGTTCTGTAAGTAACTTGGGCCCCAAGTGGCCCCTCAGGTTTAGTGCAGACCCACTAGGCAGGTGGAGCTCCGACCACAAAAGGAGCTTTGAATAATCCTTCAGCAGAGAGATTGGACATGGGAGAAGATGTTATTACTCTCATTCAGGTCTGCTGGGAAATATTTCATTAGAAGCAATGCTCTAACATATAAGTGTATAACAGATTTCATTACCTGCGCAAAATACAACTTTAACTTCTTCCCTCTGAACTGTGTTTCATGCAGCTCTATTCTGGCACGAGCAGCTGATTTGGGACTACTAAAATTTATCCGCACACGTCTGAAGCTTTTGAACAGCTGGAATGTCACACAGTCATCATAGGCACGGAACAAACCTTCAAATTTCTCCTGTGAATGAAAAAGAATAATGCTGAAGATTAACTCTGTGTTCTGTCCCATTAGGTCAGTGCTGAAATGTGATCTGAAACTTGCTGACAGTTGTTTAACCAGTAGTTTTACGGTCCCTGTGGAGTGATGACCACAGACTAATAAGGCTCTGTGAAAAGAAACTAAGACAAGCACTGGTCAGAAAGTGCTGGACTCTGGCAGATGGTTGGGGCAGGGAACCTTCGCATTGAAAAGGCATCAGCTTCTCCTAAAAGTCCAGCAGAATTGTCATGCTGGCTGACAAAGTGCAAATGCCAGCGGCGCATGACTGTAAACACGAGTCACAGCAGATAGAGCCTGGCAGCTCAGGGCTGCACTGCCAAAGGGCACAAGCAGCAACGTTGCAGGGTTATTTTGTGTCACGGGGACATTTTGGCATTGAAGTAGAGCAGGTATATATCAATTTCTCAGGAGTGACTGTAGCAGAAACAAACAAAAAAAACAATAAAAATACCCAGGTAACTGCAGTGACCTGTCCCTGCAGGTCTATTTCAGTGACCCGAAAGAGAAATTTCAGGCTTAAAATCTTTTGGTTATAGACCTCCATGTTCAAAAGGAGATGAAATATATAAGGTTAGTTTAAAATATTCCAGATCTATAGAGCTACTTAAATGAATAGAAATTCAAGGTATATTCGCACCTGGAGGATCAGACTCTCCCTATAATTTTTCTTTTCTTTTTTACACACAGAGATTAGTTCCACACCCTGAAATGAAACCAAAGTCACCGAATCAACTGTGACACACGTGCATAGGGCTCTTCATTTGCACGGGGGCAAACTCACAAAACATGAAGCCCAAAAGTGACCAGTTCCCTTTTAGCCTAACCAGTGTGTTCAACTCAGGCTTTCAAATCATATCCAGTGAGTCTCACATACAGACCTACAGTCATAGAGGATGGAAATCAGTTAGAATAAAAGCACCTTTCTTTTTGAGTTATCTCAGAAAAAAAGGGGGAAAAAAAGTACTTAAAATGATTTCTCACTCCACTTCATACACTGAAGGCTGCTTTGTTAGGTTGAGAAGTTTGTGCAATGACAAAAGCCTGTTGTTTGCTTTTATACATCTGCAAGCAAGAATTTTAAAATGTAACTTCTCCAGTTCTCATGGAAGAAAACAATTTCTTATCCCTGAGGGTGGATAACCGGGAGCGGCTGCTGAAGATGAAGGTCAGTTTAGGTAATCTAATCAATACTTCCCCTCTCTTGTTCTTACAAGCTGGGCAAGGCTCCGAAAAATTCACCCTGAAGAACAGTGAAGAGGCATCAAGGAGCACTAAGACTGCAGGAGTCCCTGTCAGTGCCAAAGGAGTTAACTAGAAAAACAGACCAGTTTCACTGCAAGGAGCACGAAGCACCGCCCGGATCTCCTTGGCTGCCAGCTCTGCGCTCGTCCTCGCCGCAACGACTCTTCCATCGCTGGCACCTTCGCAGAAGAACTTCCCCGTGGTCTATGGTTGAGGGATGCAGCTTTGATTAACGCTCCTAAAAATGCCAGGGCATTCCATCCGTGATGGGCTCACAAGGTACCAAAGGAAACTATTTCTCATTACGTAAATTCAAACTTCTGAGTTCTTCTCTGTTTTTGGGATATTAAACCTGACCTTAGAAGACATCACTAATCATCAACCATATTTCATGGCCCCTCAGCATCTTGAGCTGTCACAACTTCCAGCAGGTCGAGGGAGGTGATCCTGCCCCTCTACTCAGCCCTGGTGAGGCCACATCTGGAGTATTGTGTCCAGTTCTGGGCCCCACAGCACAAGAGGGATGTGGAGCTGCTGGAGAGAGTCCAGCGCAGGGCTACAAGGATGATCAGGGGCCTGGAACATCTGCCCTATGAGGAGAGGCTGAGGGAGCTGGGCCTGTTCAGCCTGGAGAAGAGAAGGCTGAGAGGGGACCTGAGCAGTGTCTAGAAGTACCTCAAGGGAGGCAGTGAGGAGGATGGTGCTGGCCTCTTTTCAGTGGTGGCCACTGACAAAACTAGAGGAAATGGCCACAAACTGAAGCACCAAAAGTTCCACAGGAACTTAAGGAAAAATTTCTTAGCAGTGAGGGTGACAGAGCCCTGGAACAGGCTGCCCAGAGAGGTTGTGGAGTCTCCCTCTCTGGAGATCTTCAAAACCCGCTTGGACGCAGTCCTGTGCCACGTGCCCTAGGTGACCCTGCGTGTGCAGGGGGGTTGGACTAGATGATCTCTAGAGGCCCCTTCCAACCTTAAGCATTCTGTGATTCTATAACGTCTGCTGGCTGGGTATTAATTCCCAGGAAAGACCTTACGCCTTAATTACTGTTGCCTCTGGAATCTGCTGGGTAAGAGTCTTTCAGATCAGTCTTTCACTCATCCAGGTAAAAGTCTTCCAGTGCCAGTCTGATCTCTAAGAAAATGGACCATGTCCATTTTAAACAGCTTTGCCAATTCTCTCTCCTTCAAGTCTTTGTGGATAAATAACTCAAGATTCATAATCATCTAAATCCTGGATTTATTTCTCAATGCCTTCAAAGAATAAGTTTTGAAAGTTTCAGAATATTTTGAGACCCACTAAAAAAGTAAAGGAACTTTCTAAGCTAAGTTATACAACATGCTTACACTTTCTTGAAGTAAAATCTGACTTAAAATGGAGAAAAAACGAGTTATTTATTTCTTGGATTTTCCCTGCTTCTGCTCCTAAACAGGAGCTCACCTAGGAAACCTGTGTGCAATCCCAGGATAAAAGTGTCAGTGAAATGCTGCCATAAGACGACAAACACAATATTGCATGTTATGGAAGAATATTTCTAGTAAGGCAAGAAAAATACAAACACAATTCCATAAAGCACTATCACACCTCCTTGAAACACCATTTTTGGTGCCTGCCTCCTGGAAAGATTAAGCCAAATGGGAATAGGTTCAAATAAAGGCTACTAAGATAAAAGGAATGAACAACTTGCTGGAGGAGAATTAAAATTCTTGGCTTATTTAACAAAGATTAAGAGGAAGCATGGCTGTCATCACCAGCTTAGCAAAGGGTAGAGAAGAAAAAAAAAAAAGGCTATTTAAACCAGAAGACTATGTTGGCATAAGACAAATGGAAACAAGCGGGCATGAATAGGCTCAAGCTGAAAGTTAGAAAAAGGTTTCAAACAGAGTAATGACTCAGAAACAACCTTGCAATTACAGCAGCAGTGGTAAATGATTTTTTTTTTTTTAAGATTCAATTTGGTTGGTTCATGCAAGGAACTATGACAAAGTACTGCCACAAGCAGCATTGTAAAACCTGACGGCCTGAATTAGCAAGTGAACGGGGTTGTGACAGCGCAACTTCCTTCCAGTCCACGTTCCTATGATTTATTTCCAAACACTGCTCTCCTGGTATTGTGTTCATCCAGGACAAAAGCCAAGGCCTAATTCAAATCAGTGCGAGTCTTTCCACAGATAGCTTTGGATTGGAGCCCTAGAACTCGGAGCACAAATTACATTTTATTATTCAGTATGTTTATGCTCATTATCACCCTTGTTCCACATTTCATTTGGGAGATGACTGTGATTGAAAACTTTAGACTAATCCTGTTTCCTACATTTTGGTAAGAAAATAAAGCAAGTATTTTTTTCCACTTTACTTTTCCTGTTCTTCTATGTAAAGAAAAAAAGAAGACGCAAATAACTAATTGCGTACAGTAACAAAGACATAATTTGCAATTAGAAAATATGTTTTACTTGAAATGAGTTCTGCATTTTTGGTATCATTTCAGTAACAATCAAACAGAGTGAAGGCCCTGAGTCCAGCATCCCTTCTGCTTCCACATAGCTACAGCACAAGATGAAAGAGGAAAATGGACAGTTCATAAAGACGTCGTGCACCTCGAAAATATTCTACGAACAGATCAAACCCCAGATTATAATAACGAGGGCAACCTGGGCATCACTGGTTCATCCTAAAGGTTTTAAGGAATTTTAAATTTGAACTGTGGGAGTGTCAGGTTAAAAAAAAAGAGAAAAAAAAGTATTAAATCTTGCTCACTTTAGTTATATCTAGATGAATTTGCTTGTCCTCCTGCAATCTTATTAATGCTAACAGAATGCTAATGTACCATGCCAGTATGCAAGAGAAAAGAATAAACACTCCCTATTTCAGACTTTATGCTAAGTGACCTTATTCCTCTGGCCACTTCCTCCTCCTCCTGCAGTGCTGAGCAGCGAGCAGAGCACAGTTGCCCATAGGGTGTTTTGGAAGCTTCTACCTAAACCTTACTGATCTTAAAGGCCATGTCCTGAGTATTGCTGTAACCACTTGCCAGAATCATTTTGACCCCCAATATATTTGGGGTAAGGCTTCCTGCCTAAAGATGCAGTGTCTTGTTCCAGAAGATGATGCCTTGAGCCACAGAACAGACATGACAGAATATCAGTGTATTCGTTTCACAGAATCACAGAATGGCTGAGGTTGGAAGGGACCTCCAGAAATCATCTAGCTTGTAATTCCTCATCTCACAAAAGCTTGTGAGAACAAAATAGAGCGAAGATGTCAGGCTGGAAGGAGCCTGACCGCTCCACCTTGTCCTGGAACGGAGGCAGGAGTCACCCCTTCCCACCCGTAGCACCGCCAAGCTCCCACTGAACAAAACCAGACAGATTTTGCTTCTTGAAAATCAGCTGAGCTCCTAAGCGTGTTTGTGTTTGGCTTCCAAACCATCAGTACAACAAAAGGGACAGAGATAATATCTGCCCTCGAGCTTAATGGAAGCAGCATCCACATTTCAGAAGAGGCTGACAAATGTCAGGGACGCAGAATTTTGCTGTGTTGCCTTTTCTGTTTTTAACCAGCTCCCATCCCCGTTTACCTCAAAGTGACGCACGGTCCTCCCGCTCGGCTCCACTGATCTGGAAACCAAAGGCTCCTTCAAGATGAAATAAATTGTTCCTGTGGCAGTGCCAAGGGGGTGAGATTCAATATAGTTTGGAGACTTCTCAATTCAATTTCACACCCAATGATTGAGCTAAAAGAAAAATCCACACTTTACATTTCTTCTTTGTAGGAGTATTGCTATTTTACTCTAGTGCCCAAGACATTTTTTTTTCAGATACTACATTTTTGAAGACTTTGGTTCTACATACAATATCAGCTTCTTGAAACACTATTTCAAACTAGCTGGAATAGACTTATCTTTTTCTTTGCTATCTTTTTCTTTGGGGAATCCTCTGGAGAGACAGCACTCAATATCAGCTTCTTGAAACACTATTTCAAGCTAGCTGGAATAGACTTCTCTTTTTCTTTGCTAGTACTGGGGAATGCTCTGGAGAGACAGCACTCGTTCTCCAAGAAGTCTAGAAGGCCATCCTAAAATGTGCCTTTGTTTTGGGGGAATTCAACCAATATATGAGTGGATAACGTGCACAGCAAACTCCAAGGAGCTCCCATGCATTGCATTTGAGAACGAGCACAGTACAACATTGGCTATTGATTCCATCCTATTGATGAGAACACTTAAGCCTGATACTTAATTCCCACATTCCTCTGTGATGTGAAGGGAATTCCAGCAAGTGAAGAGCAACAGGAGAGCAGCCTCCCGGGCATCCCCAGCTCAGGCTGAAGAGCTTATACATGTCTCAGAAAAAGCGTTAGCTGGCACACCTTGGAAAGGGGAAAATTTAAAATATAAGGACAGTGCTAGTTAAGGGATTGTTCAAACTCATGAAGGAAATTCAGATTATAAAGTTATTCATTCTGAGAAGCTGTATGAAACACATTCACTGCAACTATATAAACTCAGGGCCTGTAAGAAAAACTTTCCAAACGTTCTTCCTTTTTTTACATTATTTTAATGGAATCTTTGAAAGTTGAGTAGCGTCTTCTCACCCCTCCTGAGTCAGATGACCCTCCTGGTCTACTGAGGGAAACTGAGGCAAGGAGATATAGTGACAAAAGAGCATGGGCATTTGCCTAGAACCAGCCCTCTCCTAACTGCTTCCAAAGCAACTTCTACAAGCACAACCAAACTCACTGAGGAGATGCAAAAAGCTCCAAGTTTAACAGGTCTGTTCTTGAGCCTGCTGGAGCATTTAGGTACTGCTCTGTTGATGCCAGCGACACAGAATCAGGACCTAACTGAACATAATGCTGAATACGAGAATGACATGTAATAAAAAGAATGGTAAGAGTTGGAGAAGTTGTTTTTACTGCAGCATTTTTTTATACCCTCACTTGGAGATGTAATGTTATAAAGCAGCCATAAAGCACATACCATTCATTCCCTGGCATTGTGAATCCAGTTAAACTAGAAAAATAACCAGCAAAAAGCCATGGGACACAGTTTACACAAATAAAATGCTTGCCTTGCCCCTTCCTGATTTCCTGTGTTACCTACAGTGAGGGACATTTACAGCATTTCAGCTGTTTCAGACAGAAGGCTCAGCCCTTTCTCCCTCCCCTTTTTCCTCCAGCAACTGCAAACAACTGCACTAGCACGATTAGAAACCTCCTTCCAAGCCATTTGGGTGTAGAAAGTAATCTTTTATTTGAAAGAAAAGAAAGAAAGGAGTAGCCTGTAAGTGCCAGGCCGGATACGCAGTATTTTGACCACTGTCTCACACACTGGTTGTACTGTCTGACTGTTTCCTATTCTTGCCAGGCTGCCTGAGCCATCTGCCATCCGACGTCTTGCACTTGGCTTGGAAATTCCCCAAGCAGATCTATTCTTCACATTCGTTTGGACAGAGCCTGGAAACTGGGGTCTCTGAGACGGGCTCTTCTGCCTGGTTCATACAACACAGCTCTGAGCTACAGGTCCTGTCCCTGAGCCTGCTGTTACCTGTTCTCATGTTTCTCACTCTTTTCCTCCTCAAGATGTGAGTTTGCATCTCCTCTTCTGATCTGGAAAGAGGAGGAAGTTGGGATAAAACTGGAATGGAGTCATCCCATCTGCTTTGATCCTTGTGCAAGTGAACCAAAGGACCAAATTACAAAGTAGAGTCTAAACTGAGGGTCTGACTGCCTTGCTGATGAGAGGAGTGAGCACATCTTGGAAGAGGGAGCAGCAATCTGCATCTGAAACAGGAACACATGGGCCAAATATTCTGAAAGAAAGTGGGACATAAATTAAGAGCCTCTCTGCTTATTTAGGGTCTCTGCTTAGATTTGCTCAGCCTAAATTTGGCTCAGAGTCTTTTATTAGTAGTAACCATTTTTATCCTTAGATCTCCAAGGGTCACAGCCTTTATTTCTCTATGGGGGTTTCAAGGTAAGAAAAAAAAAATCCAAAACAAAATAAACCCCTGACACCAAAAAGCAACTACGACCGCCAGGCTGCTTCTGCATTTTAGTATCTGTTCCAGTAACTAGTCAGACGGGTCCTTAAAAGTGTTTTAGAATGAGTAAGATATGATTTTTTTTGGTCTCCTCCTTTCTTACCTGATATTTTAACACATGTGGGAACAAAGTATTCCTAAACGATGTAAAAAATAAACAGATTGCCTATTACTGAAGCACTATGCACCTCTGACGGTCAAGCCCCATATACATTTCCTGTCAAAAATACCAAGAGAAGTCCAATGAAATCCTTAGGAGAAGATTAATTAGTACATCCAGAGTAATCTGCTCAAAAGCACATGCAGAGAAATAAGCCATTAGATGAATCATGTTACCCAGCCTCGCTGGTGAAGGTCAAACTAATGTGGTCACACAGAGGCAGCGAGTCCCTGTTCAATACATGACCAGAACAAAACGTGCCAAAAAAAAGGAGCAACCCACGTCAACCCATGCGCTGAGCGATGCCTGAAACTCTCCAAAATTAAAGCACGAGCACTTTGAAAGGTTATTTTGTCTTCATAAACATATATTGTATTTCGCTTAAAAACTGTTGTATTGTCATCTTATGAACAATTAGGTACCAAAACAACAACAACAAAAACTTTCTGCTTTGGTTTATACCAAGCAAAACAGAAAAAGCTTTTTTTTTTTTTTTTTTTGCTTCAGAAAATAATCTCTTTAAAATCAAGAAAAAAAAGTTGAATTGCTGCAATTGCTTATGCAAAGCTATTCCTTTTTGATTCATGGAAATCTCCTTCTGTAGCTTGCCAGTGTAAAGGTGTCTTTATTATCAGTTCTTCGTGTATACTTTTTTTAACCTGCTCTGATCTTTATGATCATTTGCTTGTAAACAGCTTACAGGAAAACATTTGGAAGTAATGCATTTAAATGAAAAGCTTTATTTTAATATAAAGGGCATGGACTTTCTGCACAACAGGAATTATGCCATCAAAAAGCACCTGTACAGATATATATATATATATAATTTATTTTTATATATATTGTTCTAGTTTTGTCTATCTGTGTAGGTATAATGTGTTACAGTCCGAACGCTGTCATCATTGAGAAAGTTTGGCTGTGTGTTTGATTTTGCAGCTCATGATAGAAAAGTGATGGAAAGCATGTGCACAAAAAGAGATTATATCCTTCCACATACCCTTCCTGGGAAAGGTCCATATTGTCATTGTAAAAACCTCATTTCAGCATAAGAAACTGAAGATGTTTCCAGTTTGAATCGACTTAAAGAGAAAAAAAAAATCAAATTTTAATTTAAGTTTGAGGGGGAAAAAAAAAAAAAAAAAGCACCTGAAATATTTTTGCACTCTGAGAAGATGTTTTCTCTCTGCCTAGCCCAGAGATGGGCCATGGTCCCTGATGGTCCTGGCACCCCAAGCTGTGTAGATAAATGCTCAAATATTACAGAGTGCTGTCAAACAGTGGCTTAGCCAGCTAATTAAAAGCATTAAAATGGTGTATTTAGATCTGCAAATTCAGTATTAATTTCCATACACAAACACAACACCCATTTAGCATCTATACCTTCACCTTGCCATAGTCTTCAGTAAAATTATTACAATAGCTTAAACCTGGGCTTCCTTAGGCTGGAGCCAGGAAAGCTCTGGGTGGACCTGAGCAGCCTTGCAGCATCCACAGGGAGGTCACCACGATGACAGAGCCAGGCTCCTTCTGAGATGCAAAAGGGGAAAAAAAAAGAAAAGGAAAAAATGTTTTTCCTGTGCTTCAACAGCAACTAGCACTGTCCATTGCCAGCCACGATACGGGTGAGGAAATGTCATCTCATAGTGATATAATTGTTTTATTAGGCAGATGGAAGAAACCCCAGGGTGAAAAACAAACACTCCTGCCCAAACTGTTCTTGTGACAGTTTTCAACCAACTGAATAATTTCCAGTTGGCACAGATTTTGTTTAGAAACAAGACTTTAAAAGTAGACTAATCCTGTCTTACAGCTAAAAACAGCTCTGCTCTTCAAAATGACTTTCATTTCCTGACGTGAAAAATATATCAGGAACAGCATGATATTAAAAAGATATCAAATTGACACGATGAAACAAAGTCACTCTTCAGAGAAGTTCATATCCAGACCCATTATAGGAATCAATATGCTGGCAACAAGCCCAGTGATGGGTGAGCAGAACTGCAACCAAAAATGCAGATTTCCTTGTTTATGAACAACTTATTGCGTGACTTTTTTCCTAAGAAGATTAGACACCAGAAAATGACTACAATCCCATGGAGCCTAATTTCTTGTTCCAGGTTGTTTTTTTTACTCTATGTCCATGTGTTGTAAAGGTGGGTACCTTTGCAAACACATAAGACACTCATCTAATGAGCTAGAGACGAATGAGTTGTCTTGAGGAGCCGTGATTTAGAAGTGAGTAAGACTTCCAAAGCAGCAACGTTTGGTGCAAGTGGGATCTAAGAAACATGAAAATCCATGCACCAAACAACTCCAGGGCACATAGCCCACACCAAAATGAAGGGAACCAACTTGCCCACTGCTAAGGTTGCACCTTCTAATATCAGGTGGTCTCAGGCTTCCAGCTGTAAATCAAGCCTCAACTTGCAGCCTCAAATCTAGAATTTATGCTTTTAAATTTCAGTATTACAGTCCTTTTTCTCATATGCTGAAGGAACAACTATTTACTTAATCAGCAGGGAATACTAACATTTAATCAAGAAGGTCAGTTTATCAACTGAAAGCAAACAAGATCATCCTAAAACACCATCACTGGTTTACAAGCTGCAGGCCACAGACTCTCTAAGGGCTTCACAAATGGGAAGCAGAATAGCTCTGGACTTAGCATATAGATCTACAGCAGACTATATACCTCAAGATTGACAGAAAACATTTATGGGGGCATAAATCAGAAGAGGCTGAAAGCATTAATAGCTCCCTAGAGATAGGAAGTGGTCTCAAAACAGAGTTGCTGAAGATATATCAACCTGCAACTATTATCAACTACATGCTTTCTTTTGGATGTGCACACACATGCACACTGCTATTATAGGTGCAATTTCCTGTGTATAAAATCCTTTATGTCCTTTTGTTCTTGTTTCACATTGTACAAAATAATTGCAGCTTAAACAGAGTATCGACCGAACGCTTAGTCGATGGTTTTCTATGTTGTGCTCCAGGATGCACTGGGTAATCTCCTATTCCAGGCCTGACACCATCTCCAAGTGTTTTTGCTCAGCAGTGACACCAATCTCAATACTCTACCCCAAGAAATATCAGCCCTTTGGGGGAGAGGATCAAGCACGAGTAGCTTGAATTACAGGTTTGCAGCAGCTTCAGTCGAGTTATTTGCTATCAAGACAGGAGCGAGATATTTAAACACCTTACTACTTTATTCATTCATTAAACACTTTTATACAGAAGATTCATCATCTTCCCGAACACCCAGAACTTTAAGTGTATCAATAATTCACTTCTGTGTAACATAAACAGAATACTTATTACTGTTAGAGCGCAGCATTTGGCTTTGTTCCCAGCTGTCATGATTAATAAGAACTTTTTTTAGTTCAACCATTTGTGGATTATGGTTCAAGGACTGGCAGTAGCCTGCAGAAAGCTGGCCGGTCACACCATCCTGCAATCCCTCTAGTATAATCAGCTATTTCTAAATATAAGGTATGAACTTTCACACTCCAGTAATTTTCTTCTTCTGCAAACAGGAGAGCAACACAAGAATCTCATTTTACATACAGAAAATGAGTATCTGAAAATCCTAAGTAGCCTGGTGAGCCAAAGGGTCCACCTGCAGCAGCAAGTTTCCTCTCAGCTGAGCAGTGGCCAACATTAGCAGAGCTCAAGCTTGTAAAATACCACTTAGCAGAAGTGAGATGGGCTCAGGGATACGGCAGTGCCAACCACAGCTCCACAGCTTTCGGGCTGCCTCACACTGGATTTGCCCAAGGTAAACTGCAATCCAAGAGCCAAGTGGGACCAGACTTATCTGCCACGCCAAGCTCCGTAACAACTCCCAGAGGCAAAATTGTCCCTTTCTCTCCCCCCAGTATCTAGTTAGTAACAACATGGGGTAAATGTCACCCTGGCCCCCTTGGAAAGGCTGCCAGCCTCGCTCTGCCACATCCTCCCTTTTGAGCACAGCCAAAACTAGACACAGAAGCCCAGCAAAAATTTCAAAGCGAAATACTGAATAATCCTCCCTACATCCACAAATGGTTTTACTTACGATTGCTGATGGTACTTAGTTTTGTTCCATTAGAGCTCACAGGTTTGCATCATGCAGCTCTCCAGACACATGCATTTTCATTACCTAGCTCTAATCTTGATTCCTTTTCAAGGATACTCTGCTCTGGTCTTAACTGCATTTTACCTTGTTGCTTAATTTAAGGTCGTTCTGAATTTCAACCTTAACAGCACGGTGTCATCCATGTGTTTTAAGGTTGTTCTCTGTTCTGTTACACCAGAAATTTATTATATTAATAAAAACGTTAACTAAAGCTTCATAATAAAAATATCTAAAATGGAAAGAGTTCAAACAACTGTGCATCCACTTAGGGAGATTATATTTAGACTGCAGATGACTTATGATGGGAATACATTGAGCAGTATGGAAGCCTTAGTCAAAACATCTATCCTCCACGTCTCCTTTATCCCACTTATCCAGTTCCCCCGTCAAACAAGGAAGGATTGACACGATCTGCTCTAGACAACCCAGGCCTTACTGCTTCCTGGGAAGCAAATTTTCTGTAATCATCCAGGCCTTGCTCCCTCTCCTCTTTTTAAACACAAATACTCTCTCTTGTCACCTCTTATCCACACTAAATCTCTCTGTAATGTAGGAATTCTCGGCACTATTTTAAATTATTCAGCTATATGCTCAAGTACTCACTGGCAGATTTTAACGAGGCCCTAAACACTTGAAATACTTCACCTTACCTCTCTGTTGTTGCATGCTCTCTTCTTGCCGTTAATGCATTTGCACATTGTTTTACTCTTGTTTTTTACTTTATCACAGAATCTACCTTGTTCTTATTTAAATCCTGCACTGTTTCCACTTCTTATATAAATCCTTAAATATCTGTAAAGCAAAAGGAGTATGTGATCTAGCCATGAGTCTCTTTAATGTGCTTCCCGTATATCCTTTGCATCACGATAGATAGCCTCTATAATGCGCCTTATAAACCAACTTATTGGTTGGGTGCTTTCAACAGTTTAGAGGGTACTGTTACATATTTCTAATACCATATACAATGCTGGAAAACAACAACAGAAAATGCACAAGTTCTTCTTGTATTCCAAAAAGATGATGAAGAAAGGAAGACAAAGAAGATGGGAACAAGAAACAGTAAAAGAGGAGAACAGCTTTTGGTAGGATTCTGTAAAATATGGTCTGTCCCACACGTGCTCAATGTGGCTCAGTCTAGCAATTATCCCTCACTTAATTCCTCGTAGGATAGTAGTAGCCAACCAAAGCTCAGAGGGTTCCCATGTCACTGGCTCCTTGTATGTATTTGTATCTCTTAAAAGGTTCCTGATTGAGGGAGAAAAGAGCATTTCTGATGGTGCAGGAACAAAACCAAAAGCAAGCAAGCAAAAGAAACTTCACACATCAAAGCAAAAAACATACAAACAAAGCAAAGAACTCCTTCCCTTCCCTATGGCTTCATAGCAGTTAAATTGTTCCCTAAGAAGCTAGAGAGGAACACTGGTTAGACACTAGTTTCCTCATACAGATCTGATTAAATATATTCTACTTCTACCAGTTACCTGCTTCCACTTTGAGGGAGAAAAGAGCATTTCTGATGGTGCAGGAACAAAACCAAAAGCAAGCAACCAAAAGAAACTTCACACATCAAAGCAAAAAACATGCAAAGCAAAGAACTCCTTCCCTTCCCCATGACTTCAAAGCAGTTAAATTGTTCCCTAAGAAGCTACAGACGAGCACTGGTTAGACCCTAGTTTCCTCGTACAGATCTGATTATTAAGACAACAGAAAAAAATATATTCTACTTGTACCAGTTACCTGCTTCCACTCGGGAAAGAAGAAAAGTAACTAAGTCTGCATTAGCCATCAGCCAAAAGAAGATGCAGCAAATCACAACAAAACCTGGGCTTGATAAACTTGGAGCAAGACTAATGCAGCAAATGAAATAAGTAACTTTTGCGTAAGTGGAACTTTATTTATGGGACTCCTGGGCCTTTTACCATAGTTCACCTGGCTCCACAGCCGCACATCTGAGCTGGACGGGAAACATGAGATTTCAGGAAGGTTAACACTGGCTGTTACAGGAGCAGCACATACCTCTGCTGCATGATGCAGCTCTCAATACTCCCGGTTTTATGGTCAATGTATCAAAATTACTCACTGCAATATGTGAAGTACACAGATGCTTCCACAAGTGACAAATTAAGCTGAAGAAATTACACTGTACAACCTCCTATTGATACCACTTTGGGCACAACAGGCTCAGTGTATTTCTCAGCTCTGTGGCTATTAATTTAACAGATTTTAAGGGTGTCTGGTGCTGCAAAGCTCGAGGCCCTCCCATGCTGCAGGCCGCGTCTCCTGCTAGATACGGAGCGATCCTGCAGGACAGAGTCCACCTCTCCTGCCAGGCACTGTCAGAGTCCGAGGCAGATTCTGAAAGCGAAAAGAGATTTTGGACAAATTCACAATGCAAAAATAGCAAGTAACGAACGAAGGCTCCTGGCTCTCCTGTAAAGCTTTTGAGTCCCTAGGATGGAGAACAGCATTTGAGACAAAACATGCACAGAACCTGCTATTAAAGACAAGGGTTGTTAACTCCACCATATCTGGTACATTCCTACTCAGCTTCCTAATCATAGAACGTATCTCCTGCTTGCTCAGTTCTCCATCTGCAAATGAGAATAGTTGGAGTTTTTAATCCATTGCACCACTCCGAAGTCTTCCAGCAACTACCGAAGTGCAAAATAGAAGACTGAGAGGAGATCTGATCAACATGTATGTATAACTGAGGGGTGAATGTAGGGAGGACGGGGCCAAACTCTTCTCAGTGGTGGCCAGTGATAGGACAAGGGGTCATGGGTGCAAGTTAAAACACAGGAGGTTCCATCTCCATGTGAGGAAGAACTTCTTTCCTGTGAGGGTGACAGAGCCCTGGCACAGGCTGCCCGAGGCTGTGGAGTCTCCTTCTCTGGAGATCTTCCAAACCCGCCTGGATGCCGCCCTGTGCCATGTGCTCTGGGTGTCCCTGCTGGAGCAGGGGGTTGGACTAGATGATCTCTAGAGGTCGCTTCCAATCTCAGCCATTCTGGGATTCTGGGAAAAAAGAGACACGCCAGCATGGGAGATGCAAGCAGCAACCCTCAGCTCTGAACTCTGCACTGGCCTGTCTGCCTTGTCTTCTGCTGCGTGGACATCACAGGACAGCAGCAGAACTGCCAGCTCCACTAACTGCTGCAGCCAAAGACTTCTCCTTGGCTCAGGGACAATGGGAACTGCAAATGGGGGCAGTTAAAAGCAGCACAAAAACACTAAGGTTTTGGAAAGATGATCTGAATTCTTGGGAATTAACAAGAACAAAGTAGAAACTAATCTGAA